GCACGTTGTGAGTGCTCAACGATCGACGAAGAAAATGGATGAACGACACTTCCATCACGTATCCTGAAGGCATAGGAACAGTTATAAAGAAGTAGTATAATCGCCCAACGAATAATGCCCAGAAGGGCGAGAGCCATGATATGGCAGGGTTCACATGTGAAAAGAAAATTAATAAGCGAGCACTAATTCGGTGATGTTCGAATAGATTTACTTCTTATACTCCTTCCTTTCCTCCCTTCTTTTTCTTCCTCTTCCTCCCTCTCTCTCTCTCTCTCTCTCTCTATCTATGTCTCTGTTTCTGTCTCTCTCCCTCTCTCTTTCTCTCTCTCCGAAAACTCGTGATCAAAAGAACACGAGTGATCTTGAGAATCTTGAAGAACTATCGAGTACGCCGTCTCGGACGTGGCAGATCCCGGGCTACCACGTCCACAGTCGGCCGTGCCTTTGCGGAAATTAGAGCGCATGGCAGCGTCCCAAGCAGCTAGGAGTTTTATTTAGCATCAACATTTCCGACCGCCGATCGCCGCGGCCTCAGCAGTGCGTTCGAGAGACAGCCATGCCTCTCTCTTTGTCGTCATCATTCACTGCCGATATTCTTCTCCTCGGAAGTTACGCAACTTTAGAGGGGGAGAGAGAGAGAGAGAGAGAGAGAGAGAGAGAGAGAGAGAGAGAGAGTGACAGGGAGAGAAGTCTAGGCAAGCAAACTGTTCTTATAGACACGGAGGCGCTTCGAATCAGGAGTGTATAAGACGGATTAAAGAAGATAATGAAACGTTTTCAAGGTTACCACGTGTCAAATATATTTGTATTATATAAATAAAAATTTATTATTACAGAAAAGAATTGTTCTTTTTTTCTTTTTATTACTTTTATTTTGCAAATTTCTGATTGAATTTCAAATAGTTCTTTGATTGTTAATTAAACATAATGTAAGAATAGAGGATATTTTTTAGAAATAAGATCTTCCCTATGAAGATGAAATAGTTTAGCGACGATATAGTAAGTATATGCGTATATATGTGTATGCTACGAATAACCAAGATCCTAATATTATCGCGGAAACATTTTGTTTCACTATTACGAATGATTAAAGTCGCTCATCACGAAATGCTGTTCATGTATCATGACATAGTCGCTCGATATATAACATTTACTATAAATATCAAATATGTATATATTGATGTATCGATGTTTTGACCATATTCGTTATTTCATTCTTTTTTTACTTTCTATTACCATGATTTTAATTTCTAGTATCAATAAAAATTTTTCAAGGCGTAAGATGTAAACTCGGAACAGCAAAGATTGATGGCACACGAATTGTACGTACACTTGCGGTATGAAGTCCGGCGATTCAGCTGTAATAATCTGGTGATTAGTTTCACCGCAACAAAAGGATTAAAGCGGATAGGAAATAAAAGGAAATACTTATGCGTTCAAGGGTCAGCCTACAATGAGATATGTACCGAACAATATTCAATTATAACTACGAGTATCATTCAAGTATTTGTTCAACGATCTTATGTAATAGGTATAAATCATAATTAAACATAATTAATTGCACTAAACATTCGTGCAATAAGTTTTCTTTTTTCTTTTTTTTTTTTTTTAATGTTTGGGATCTACATGAAAAGAGAGAATAAATGGCTAATTATAAAAGGTGTATGAAGACATTGTATGTTTTTAATAAAATGGAAATAAATGAATGATGAAACGAAGAAAAACTCATGTTTAATTGAGTTGCATGTTTAATTAATATTAATTAAAAAAAAATAAATAAATAAATAAATGCACGATTAATTATATTAGGAAAAGAGATGAAAAAATTGATATATAAAAATTTGATATATTTAGGATGAATTTGACCCGTTGTATACTGTCGACCATCAATCACCGACGACTTGGACTTAACCATGGATTCAAGAGAATGTATGAGTTTGTATGTATTTGGTCACGGTGATCAATGAAATACATCAGCCTGCTATATTCATTCTGCGAGGTCATACAAACATTATACATACATACATACATACATACAGCGTTTTTTGTCAATTCAATTAATTGTAAATCACGCACATCTACGATTATTTTTCTTTTCGCGCGCCGACGAAACAAAGCATCGATAAAACATGGTGTCTCTAAATTAATACTGTCTGAATACAACTCAAAAAAAAAAATACAAATTCTCAAGAAAAAGAGAGAGAGAGAGAGAGAGAGAGAGAGAAACTAAATTCTAATTAAATTTCGTTAAATTGTCAAGTAACTATAGCAATGAGAATTGCAATATTTAAGTATAATAATGGTTATAATATTCCTTAAATAGGCATTCAGTAATTTTGTCAATACATTATCACTTAGGGCTTTTAGGAAGGATGACTTTTTGTAAGAATAATAACACTCGTGTTCTCTAGCGACTGACTTCGCAAATAGACTTGTGACGTTATTCCTTCACGTAAATATTGGTTCAAGCATACCTCCTGTGGGCTTAACTTGAAATATGAGTTTTTTGAGTTGTAACATTTTTCTAGGAACGCAATATGACTAATATATAACGCGTTGGGTTGCAAGATATGTCAACAACAATAAAAGATAAATCAAAGTGCGAGTTAGGAATTATTATCATTTATTTTAAATACATCATTTTAAAATAATAAAATCAAAATCATTTACGATCTTTAGAATCTTTGTATTAAGATATATAATTGATCGCATAAATTTCTTAATAATAAAACAATGAATAATAATGAGAATGAATAAACAAGTAAAAGAAGTTGTTTTGAAATAAAATACGATTTACGTGCGATAAAACATTTATCGGTATTATTAAAAGATCTCACGTTAAATACGTTGGACGAGGAAGTGTCATAAATTTTACCGGAGTAAGAGATAGGAGTACTTTAAATTCCTTACGCAAAACGCATAATATTTCGCGAGCGTGAAGTTACGTCCAGTCGTGTCACATTCGTGCTCCCCTTTTTCCCCATTCTGCAGGTTCAACGTGCTCCTTCGTCCGGTATCACTTATATGTTCCCCGCAGAGAGCGAAAAAGGGCAGAGAAAGAGCACGTCGTAATGAAATTTTGAAAACGCGCTGTGCGTTCTGCCGTATGCCATGGCTAACTTCGGTGCTTTTCATGCCGTACTGCCACGGTAATTCGATTTCGTCGAATTATCACTCATTTCGCAAAAAGGATAAATGTGAACGTGAGTCGAATTCAACATATATACCTGCACTCTAGCGTTAGAATTTCTGGAGGAAGAGAAGTGACCGATCATGGGATATACACGTGTTTAAAGTCCTTCATTTTCATTACTTTTTATATTTTTGAAAAAATAATATACCTCGAGAGATCGTTTGATATAAAAACAACGGAAGAACGAATCGAATTCACTGTTAGTTCTCGATAAAGAAATAGGAAAAGAATGAGAGACAGAGAGAGAGAGAGAGAGAGAGAGAGAGAGAGAGAAAGAGTGAGTGAGAGAAAGAGAAAGAGAGAGAGAGGGGCAGGTATCTCGTAATCAATCTCGGTACAACCGTTGTTCTCGACGCCTCGTACGTTACGAACGAGACAGCCTGCTAGATTCATATTAAACGATATAAAGAAACGGGACGGTGATTTATGCGCACAAATTGTTCTGTCACCATCCTGCTCCTCCAGGATTTCCGCACTTCCCCGGCGTACACCAGAGAAGGCCATTGTTCTCCTTTTGCCGACATCTTATTGTCCCCCCCCTCGCTCTCTTCAATATCCGCTGCATTAAATCCCGCTTTTTCGCGATGTGCTCCGCAATATGGTGCTCTCTTTTCTTCTTTCTCTCTGCCTTTTTCTTCGCCTTTCTATCCACCTTCGCGCGTGCAATCACTCCTGCAGTTAAAATGTATACCTTCGAATTTACGTCCGGTAAACAAACGAACGAGAAATCGTTCTACCGTAGGATTTTGACCTAAATACTTTGCTATATTTCTTTTTTCCTTTTTTCCTTTCTTTCTTTTTTTTTCTTTTTCTTTTTTATGAAAAAATTCCATGACGAAAGAAAAAGAGAAAGAGAGAGAGAGAGAGAAAAATCTTTTCACTTAATCGACAATTATGCGCTTGAATGGCACTGAAAGAATTACATGTGAGAAACAAATCGTAAAGTAATTAAATATTTTAAAGAATGAACAAAGCTACGGTTAAAACTTCGTTACTCGTGTTAGTTACTTAATGAGTACAGAACGATAATGTAAACTTCCAACGTTAGCGCTCGTTCGAAGGTAAGCACTTATCGTAAAATCGTATTCTATGCGTTAATGCATCGAGCTTTTTAAAAACTTGTAAAACACGATGCTTATTATATTAATTCTTAACGTGCACCTTATACTACTAGGTTATATATACATATATATATATATTTTTTTTTTTTAAACGAATAACATGTATAAGCAGTCATGAGCTAATTAATAATAATGAATATGCATATAGGAACGAGGAAATTAATTTCAACAGTTTTAAAATCGACAATCAAATATTGTTTATAAAATATCTTTTTGTTCTTTTAGAAATTTAATAATTGTTAAATATCGAGTGGATATTGCTTAAAAAGAGAATAGACTATATGTATATATATATATATATATATATGTATCGCACGAATCGTATTTTATCTGCGACTGCATATGCATGAAGTAGATTTTCAAATTCGATTTTCTCGAAAACTAAGTCTCGAACGAAAAAATTTTATTCGATATTTTCTTTTTATCTCTTTTTTTTTCGTACTGAATCACTTCATACCCGCTTTTATATGTTATTTGGACGGATCTTGTATGTTCCGTATACTATATATATGTATATATACGCAAGATCCGTCAAAATAAACTGTTTCGAGGCATCTAGGATTTATTTATAAATAACAAACGTTTATCTCGTATATAAACATGAATGGAAACGTCGAAGAAGAATATCACTTTGGATTGAAAATATTGAAGGTCAATTCGCATATTACAGTTCAGTCTTCGTTTCGTCTCCGTTCTGGATAGTTCGGCTAAAGTGAGTTTAACATTATTCTACGTAGTTTAAATGCACGTTATCATACATAATTATTTAATCTCAATTTAGTTATCGATTCGTCATATTTCCTGTGTCCGAAATCGTCCAAGATTGTTCGATATCATCGTCAATGTTTTTTATGAAATGACAGACGGAATTTTAATAACATCTTTCGTCTATGGTACGACTCAGAGGTAAGAAAAGATTTTCTATCGCTATGTCTATCCTCTTCCTTTTTCAATTTCTCACTTTTTAACGCAATGGAATTCTAATAACTTGCAATCTTTTGTCTATGGACAAAGGAGATTTTTTTTATCGTTCCGTTTATTCTCACCTTTAATGTTCTCAAAGTCCACATAGTAGGGATCTTTGGACATATCTATTTTACACACGACAAATATCTTTATTATCTATCAATTAAAAATGATATTTTAAATATCACGTTAATAAAATTTTGTTGCGATCAATTAGTTCTTTAATATTTTTGTACGAAATGCATCTTTTGCAATGTCAAAAGTTTTTTCTTTAAATCTTTGGAATCACATTTTGCACGTCGCATTGGTTCCATATACAACAGAAATTTTTTCACGCGAATTTGCAACACGCTTTTTGCCTTTTCGATAATAAAAAAGCAAATACGACGAAAAACTATCTTTATTTTCGGAAATATTTACAATTTCACAAAAACTGCTAGAGCTAATTGATCAAAATAAAATCTTATTATAATGATATCTGAAATGTAATTTTAAAAAAATATTTGCGTGCGTGAAATTGATAATGATATGAAAAAGCGACGTTCCGTCAACAAGCAAAGAAAACGGGATGAATATAGTATATCAAAATTTAATATAAAAGATAGTAGGAGCGATAAAAAAATTTATTCTTGCTATTATACAGGTTTCATGGACAAAAGACCATAATATAACTTATTAGAGTGCCGTCAATCATTTCAAAAACAAATTTTAATAATGATGACAATGGATAATCTTGATTACAGAGAAAATAAGACGGATCAATTGTAATTATAAATATTTAAAACAAAGTTCTATTATTGTTCCATATATAATTCAATAATACATATACTGTTTATATATATATATTCTTTTTCTTCTTTCTTTCTCTATTTTCTTACATTTTTCCTTTGTTAATCTCTTTTGTTGTCTCCTTCGAATCGTTTTGAACGGTTGACAAAAAGATTTAAAAGCAGCATGGCATTCGGTTCATTTTAAGATGTCGACTTTCTTTTTCATTCATTTCAACATTTGAAGTCCGTTAAAGTTTCACAAAGGATACACAGATTAAATTTCTTTTTGGAAAGTGGCTCTTGTACGCGGTGTCCTTCAAATTTTTCTTTCCTTGAAAAAAGAACAAGAGGCGGACAAAGAATTCTTGATTTTTGTCTATCTCAAAGAAACTGATTTACGTGCAGTATGTAATGCTTTTCGTATACATAGAATGCAATGTTTTTATGAATCGAATTACACCGTAGTATTCATTTTAACTCGTACGGTCAAAATCTTTTTTATTTGAGTTTTTAATTTCTTTTTTTCTTTTTTTTTTCTCTATAGCCGATTTCGCGATACGATTGTTATGAAATATCAGAAAATCATGGTTGTTGAAACGAAGATGGAAGATAATTCTTGATATCGATTCTGAAAGTATCGACCAATTTGGACAAGATTCTCTGGAATCATGATTTTCCGAGTGACACCGGGACAAGGCACCTATAAAGTGTACGAGCTACACGCTACGAGATATCGAATATAGGGAGAACTTGGCAACATCTGCAGAAACACAGGGACTGACAGGTCTTGGCCATTTAAAATGAAATTTAATACCTGCGAGGTTATCTCTCTCTCTCTCTCTCTCTCTCTCTCTCTCTCTCTCTCTATTCCCTTCTTGCCTATCTTCTTTCTCTTTCTCTTTCGCTTTCACGTTCTCGTTCTTTCACGTTTCCTCGTTTTTCTTCTTTTGTTATACATACACTATCTTATAAAGAGGACTTATACTTGCCGAATGTTTTATGCATTTTTGTCGGTAAACCTGAAGAATTTATTTATAGAGACGGTATTACGTAGCCTATTTTCTCTCGCCAATCGAAGAATGGTTCTGTTTCTATTCAATGAGGATAAATCCTTAAGAAAAAGGACAATAAAATAAATAATCGAACCTTTTCATTGATTATATAAATATATATATATATATGATTTCTTAAACATAAACGAGAGATCGTAGTTATATATGAGATAGAACGGTAAAAGAATGCATCTTGGGGTGTTGAGTAATAGAACTTAATAATTTACGTTAGAATCACGAGAGTTATCTCGTCGTTAGCGGGGAAGTGCGAGTGTAATTCATAGTAGTTGTAAAACCTGAGCTTTAACGAGCCACCAACTACTCTGCCATTGTCGTCGCTCGTTAAATTTACCACCATAATGATGTGTTTAGTATTCGGTAAAACAACTGACACGTTAGAGATCGTTTCATGATCTTTTTCTCTATATTTATTTCTATTTCTCTCTCTTTCTCTCTCTCTCTCTCTCTTTCTCTTTCTCATTCTTCGATTAGATTGGTATTCCGACGAATAATTATTCTCCATGAAAATGTTCAATCTCTTGCAAATAACTATCTTATACTTTTATCTATCCAAATCGATAATGTTAATAATTTTAATCCTAATCGTACACACCTCAAAATAATTTCAAGTTGTGCACTTAGGCTAAGGCACTTTGAACAATTCTCATTAATATAGAATGAATAATTTTGACTTAAAAAAAAAATACTATATATTCTTTGAAGCATCGGCAATAATAATCAGCAAATGTATTTCTAATTTTATCATTATAAGAAAAAATTTATGAATCTTACAATGCGTAAATTGTTTTAATCGATTGTCATAATTAATCTGAGATTGTTCTACACAGATATTACTACTAGGGGTTAATTATAATGCAAATATTTACTTTAATTTCTTTTGTTTTTTTTTTAATCGCAATATTTTAATTTCTTTATCCCCCTTTAATATATATATGTATATATATGTAAATTAAATGACTTTATTTCATCCTCGTAGTTATTTTATTTCGTATTTTACTATCAAATTTTATACGAAAAAGGCTGGTAATTATAAGATTTCGAGTAAAATTCATGAATCTTTCCCGATGGTGGGGTGGAACATTACGAGCAGTTAGAATTTCGACGAGTCGGCAGTATCCCATAGAGGAGTCTGTCAAGGTGTAAAGAGAAGAGTAAAGGACGAAGGCTGTAGAGGGAATTGCGAAGGGAGGGCCAGGGAAGGGCCAAGCATCAGCCACGAAACGTTGAGAATGAGATAGGACGAGAGAGGATTGGAGATGGTAGTGAGGAAGAATGAACAACGAACGAACGGCGTTATAACAAGGGCTAGTTAGCGACAGTGCCGTATTACCCTCGTACAGTTCTACGTTTGCACAATGGCGACAAATTTCACGCGCTATATCATCCGTCTCCATGGTTTCTCTCTCTTTCTCTATCTCTCACTCTCTCTCGGTCTCACTCTCACTCTCATGTCCCCCATCAGGTTTCTCTATCACCCTCTTCGACCGCAGGGAAAGACGAGAGGTACTATGAGAAAAGGAAGGAAGATGTTGCAAAAGGGTGGATAGGGTGGTGGGTGGCTTTTCCTGCCTTCGGGTGCCCATAAAGCCGTAATAACTGCTAATTCGCGGGGTTTGTTTTGCACGCCCTCGAATTCTCCTCCTTCTCCTCCTCCTCCACTTCCTTCTCCTTTTCCTTCTTGTTTCTTCTCTCAACATGTATTCTACGCGTAAAGATTTTGAGAATGATTCGTTATCACTCGAAAGAATAATAATAATAATAATAATAATAATAATAATAATAATAATAATAATAATAATAATAATAATAATAATAATAATAATCGTTTCTTTTCACTAAGATAAATATTTCGATCGATCGATCGATCGATGTCTATTTCAGATACGACAAATTTCAAAGTTATTCTCGAAAACGTCATGTTGAAAGTTCGAAATTTATAGAAATTGATCGATCGAACGAGAAACGAGCTCAACGAGTTTATGTAAATGTATTTGGAAACACATGCATATATACGTACACACGTGCGAAGGAACAAACTGAATTTGCGACTTCGATCGTCATCCCGGCGTCTAACGTCAATTGCTTCCTAGTTCGAAGTTTCTATTCCCTCGTCCGATATAATACTGTTTTCCACGTTAACTCAGAACATTCGATTCAAGGAAATTACGTTGTCGTTGGCCGGTGGACCTTTAAAGGATTTCAAATCTTTCTCAAAAGCTGCACGATCACATAGGGACGAAAAAAGAGTGGATATAAAAAAGAGGAAAGAAAGAGAAAGAAGTACATTTAACATTAAAAAGATAGATGAAGGGAGTATGCAAGAACGAGAGAAAGAGAGAGAGAGAGAGAGAGAAGGAAAAAGAGAGGGGAGTGAAATGCGACGAGGGATAGAAGAGGATGAGAGTCATGGAAAAGTATTGTATGATGGGGGGTGGATGAGAGCGAGAGAAAGAGGGATTGAGACTAGGCGCCGTTGCATTTTGCCCCGATCGTCTCTTCCACCAGCACCACCACCACCACCACCACCCGCCAGATTCTCGAGCAGGTGGGTAATGCATTTTGTATTCAATGAGGCGAGAGGTGCCCTTCGTGCCAATGGCAGCGCCTCCAACCTCCGGAGAGTCCGACGGAGCCGTCTCTCGTCTCTCATCTACATCTACGGCAACGTTCTTATACTATTCCTACCTATACAAACGCGAGATCATATATACAACTATATGACATGTATATAGAAAACATGGATGTACATCATGGCTATGGGACTGAGTTTGTTGCCGATTCGCATCGACGCCTAGTAATAACGTTTATTGAAGTGTAAATGCGCCTCTCTGAATTTCCAATGCGTCTACTACGAGAAATCTTCTCCCCATCTAACATTCTGTCCCCCCCCTCTCTCTCTCTCTCTCTCGCTCTCTCTCTAGCTTACTATCGCAGATCCTTCTTCTTCCCTTCGCTGTGTCGTCTAAGCCGCGTATATACGTCGACCTGTCTTCTTCTTGAATTATACTATATCTGGTATGCATATAGATACGAATTTTTGAGGAGAACGCAACAGGCCGAAGTTGCAAGCACGATACTTTTCGATGCCACTGATTAT